ATTATCACATGACTTGAAGTCATATCTGATTTCAAATGTGGGAAGTAACAAAGCACACTTATTTACTCAAGTACAATTTTGAGATACTTGTAGTTGACTTGAGTATTTCTATTTTATGCTACTTTGTACTTCTACTTTTACTCCACTACATGTATTTAATACCTTTAGTTACTTTACAGATGTGGATGAATGATGTGAAATCTAATCAAGTGTTAAATCAGACTTTAGTTCCACCTGGAGTAAATTCACAAGCTACCCTGCAGTATACAAAGTCATTCAAACTAGCTGCTCCTTTACCAGCTTTGAGAACACTTTCATGATCAATCATTATAAAACATATCATATTATTCTGAAATGGACCAATCTGCACAATGAATACTTTTACTGTCGCTACTTTCACTATATTTTGATAATACTTTTCTAATTTTACTTGAGTAACATTTTGAATGCAGGACTTTTACTGTAACTGAGTATTCCTACACAAGATCTGAGTACTTCTTCCACCTCTGTCTGATTTCAAACTCTTCCATAACACCCTGAGTAAGTTTGCAGCTGTGTGTTTCACTCCACTTTGGTGTAAATAAAACTGCAGCAGCTTGACCACAGAGCGTGAACGTTGTGATCAGATGATTTTGCGCAGTTCTCCAGTGTGTGCGCGGGGCACAGAATGTGCACAGGGGAGTCTCCCACCGCAGCCAGTTGGCGGACTTTTGGCACAATTCTGTTGTTTATACCGACGTTAACCCTGTCTGTGCACACGGCGACCAACTCTGTCGTCCAGTGATCTAAGCCTGTGCCTCCTGGAAAGCTTCACAGGTCCGTCGGTTATGTCCTGCGCGGCTCACCCAGCTCCAGTTCAATCAGTCATAGAAAGATTTTTTGCAGGGAGCGAAACGGCAACGTAGCTGCTTAATGTCTTTGGGTTTTTTGACATGCCTAGTAGTTTACTCCATTGAGTGTTGACAAGAAACACGTGTAGACGAAATATGTGTTTTGTTTTGATGTTTTGAGGTACGCAAAGGCGCGTAGTGACACAAGTGACGTTACGCAATTCAGATTTGTGCCGCGCATGCGTACCTGCGTACCAGTTATGTGCACCCCTGTACATAAGTGTCCTACACTAATAATACAAATAAATCCATCATAAACTAAACTGTAAATGATACTGGAAAGTATAATTTATTGTGTTAACACTGTAAACTTGACAGTTTTTTAACCCGCACCGCCTATATATATATACTAGTGGTTAAAGTACGTTATTTAATTTTTTTTGTTGAATATGTTATATTTGATGAAAACATTTAAATATTAAGAGTAGCCTACATACACAATAGGGGGAAAGTAGAAGGTCAATGATAGAAATATAGAATAGAAACTATCAAGAAGATACTGTAGTGATCTCTACAATAAAACAGCTAGTGCAGGACGTCCAAAAATATTAATAGGAGGATTTGCAAAACAGACTAACTAATAAGGCTTTATTTAAACATTAAAGAATACTTTATGGTCTTCTTTTGAATAACAACAAAACTTTGGGGGTATCAACAGATAAATATTAAGCCTGACAAATTACTTAACGTCTAATATATTGCATAGTTTATTTTGGCATTTGACAATCACCTTCCCTGAATTTTACTCAGGTGTAACTAAAATATATTTCACATCATTAATCAGAATCTGCAAAGTAACTAAAATAAATGTAGTGGAGTAAAAATACCAGGTTAACCTCTGAATTGTAGTGGAGTAGAATTACAAAGTAACAATAAATTGCATGTTGTACATGCTGCTGTAACAAAAACATTTCCCAACTTAGGATCAATAAAGTATATCTTATCTTAAGATGATCGATGGCTACTGCCATATTTGCAAAATGTGCCTCTGAACCTTGACAAGTGCATGTTTCAGGCTTATCAATTAACAACAGGAGGGGTCACAGACATAAGACCAGCTATGAACCCGTTCGAGTCTAGTTTTGGATAGTCTGCCGTGGTTTCATTCCATTTCAAAGAGCTGTTTGGCGCTCGGCGTAACCTTGGCGCACTGCCACTCGAACATCCAATCACAGAGCTTGAGGTCTAATCACGGGGTTTGTCAAGCAAAGCGGATGTTGTAGTCCCAAACGATAGCTGAGGATTATGGGTAGTGTAGTGCCTTCGGCCATCCTAAACTCCCAAAAAACTATTTGTTTCTCCGAATCAAAGGTTAAAAACACAAAAGCATTGTACACAATTTAAACCAATCAATGTTGTGTAATTAAAAAGGATAAACTGATGTTTTTTAGTGGATGAGTACTGCAGATATCACTGTGAAATCATTTGACAGTGAGGGGAATACTTCCGGTTTAATTATGAAAACTTCGAGACCGGAAATACCCCGTGAGGGTTGACGCCAACTTTACATGGATACTGCCGTCAATAGAAATTAATAGGGGAAAGACGTAGCATATACACGTTCTCCTGGCGAGACCTCAAATAATCTTCCTAATATCTATCAAACTATAGATCCTACACATCCACTGGACCTGGATTATAAAATTACAATATACACTTTGTGAATATACGACCCTCCGGAGCGTTTGCAATCAACGTGAGCATCAGCCAATATGCCGCAAATTGTTGTTTCTTACACGACCACTAGAGGTGCTAAACTTTAAAACATATGTAATAAACAGATTTTAAGATTAAATATTACACCTAGGTATTTAGGGGTGAGTATTGGGTGTGGGCATGGGGTTATCGGGGGGCAGAGTTCAGCAGGGTAACAGCCCTGGGGAAGAAGCTGTTCCTGAACTTGCTGGTCTTGGACTGGAGGCTCCTGAGGCGCCTCCCCGAGGGTAGGAGGGCAAACAGATTGTTCGCAGGATGAGAGGTGTCTTTAATGATGTTACGCGCCCTCTGCAGACACAGTATCCCCTGGATGTCCTCGATGGCAGGGAGTGGGACACCGATGATGTGTTGGGCGATTTTCGTCACCCTCTGCAATGCCTTCTTGTTGAACATTGAGCAATTCCCATACCAGGCTGTGATACAGCTGGTCAGGATGCGCTCGATGGTGCCGCGATACAAGTTTACCAGAATCTGAGGAGAGTGGTGATTTTTCTTTAGTCCCCTCAAGAAGAAGAGACGCTGGTGAGCCTTCTGATAGCAACGTTTCTGATAGGGCTGTGGGCGTACAGCCAGCCCACACCTCCGATATTACGTCATATCGGCAGCAAATCTGGATCAGCTCCGTTGTACCCCCGTTTTTAGGGTTTGGGTACGGGGGAAAAGAGAGAACGTTTTGTTTTCTGACACTTTGTGAGTTCCCTGACGTATTTATGTATAAAAGACATCAAAAAGTGCATTTTGCATGATAGGAGACCTGCATTTTTACTAAATGTTAGTATTGGCTGTTAATCGTTGGGTGCAGAATTGTCTATGATTGGAATTGCTTGGATAGTGGGCTGTGTTTGAGGATCTTTACTAAAGTCAAAGTTTGATACAATATCTAAAATAGATATGTTTACTAGCTAGCTTAACTATTGGCCTTACAATGACAAAGGACAAATCAGAAGAGAAAACAACGGGAAAACAGGAGGCAATAAGGGTTCAAGTGAAGGAAGTAATGAAGGAAGGGAGGGATATGCAAAAGAGGAAAAAGTGATCAAGATTAAGGAGGGTAGAGGTAATGAACAGCAGATGGATGGGAGGGAGGGAAATCAGTGAAGTCAAAAAGAAGGCAGAAATGAGGGGGAGAACCGAGGGAGGGAGGTATGGACAGAAGATAAAGGAGGCGAAGAAGAAGTGATTAAAAAAAGAGGTGATTGGTGCAGAGGAGGGAGAAATGACAGAGGAAGAGGAACAAAGTAAGAAAGGAAGAAATGGGATCAACAGAGTCGAGGATGGATGAAGATCAGGATGGTTGAAGAGAGCGAGGGATGCAGAGAGGGAGGCCGTGACGGGGAGCCATTAATAATTTATGATAGCCTCAGCTTTTCAAAGCAGCCCAGCGGTCCCGCTCCCTGCTTTCCCCTGACGTTTAATTTGTCTGAAAATCAGCAAGCGTGGAGTCTGATTATCGTCTCCGTCTGCCAACGCCTCTGCTTCCATCTCCCTGACACCGAGGTGAGATCACAAGCTGCTCGGTACAAACATGTCAGCCTGGAATCCTTCAGGTCAAAACAATCCTCGTGGAGGAAGCTGCATCCGTGAAGCATCTCAGTGGAAAGCTTCTCAGAGCTGCCTGAAATTAAATGCCCAAATACAGAGCTGAGGTCTTCTATATCATCCCATTTATAAGCCCATTATATTGACAGGGAAAAGTGCAGGGTGAGCAGTAAAGTGCCCTTGTCCGCGCTCACTCAGTATAGTTTTACAGGCTTTCTGATGGGCCTATTTCTGGAAGGAATTACTCCAGTAAAGTAGCTTCTCTTTCAGTGGCCAAAATGATCTTCGAGCTGCTGGTAATGGTCTGTACAACATGCAGGAGACTCATGGAAAGAGTTTGGAAAAGTATATAACACGAATAGAGTTTACCTTATATTAGTTAACAATGCTTCTCCACTATAGAAAAACATTTAAACTGGGTTTAGCTCCCCTAACAATATGAGTTTAGCTAAATTAAGCTGACATTTAAGAGGTGTTACATACATATATCACTTAATATGCTGATCAATTAGCTTTTTTGTCAATGACAAGACACTACGGAACCAAAGAGGAATGGATCAGCCTGACTTTATATGATAGAAGGACAAATAGACAGGTAAATAAATAGTAAAGTGAATTTAAGACGAATTACATAATGTGGACTGCAGATGGAAATGAGCAAACTGCTATAATCTGCTACAACGCATCTGGGATTTATGTTCTTCTGTACATGGTCCCTGACAACTCAACCAATAAACAAACAAACAATGGGACAGTCATCATTGGTGACTATGAATCTTGACCACAATTATCCCTGAAATTTAACAAGATGTAACAACAAAACTAAGGTTAACAAAGGAGCATTTACAATCAATGTTATACCAAACGTTATCGTCGTCAGAATTGTTTAATTTATTATGGTTCCAGCTTTGGGACAATTGTTGCATTTTTTACCCTGCTTTCTCTGCTCCACATTTTCATCTGTCAAAATAATGTGAAAACACTACACACAAAAAAACATTTTAGAAAACAGAGAAACAGCCATGACTTATTTGCAGGTGTTAAATGGTTGCTTTTAACTATGAAACAATGCATGATGGGACCTTTTCTAAATTTGATGAGTTTAATTATCTGTTCAACCCATATCAGTCCAAGTCAAAAGAATTTAGTCACAAGAATCTGTGATTATAAGTTCTGAAATAAGTCTGAAATATAGGAATTTTAACATTTCTTTCTCTCTCCCGATGTTCACAGCAACTAACATTTTTCAATTAAAAAGTAAATAATTTTTTTTAAGACATTGTGCCAATTAAAAACTAATTACAGATGCATTAAGCAATTGGTGTGCATGGAAAAAAAATGTGTATGCTCTTTGCACTGTAACTCTGACAGCTGAGACATCGTTTTACAAAAGGGGCAAAGGAACACATGCAAAATCATTTAGCCACTAATTTAAATTGACTTCTGAGACTAAATGTCAAATATTCCCTTAATGATCACAGGGCGCAGGCAGTGCCAAAGGCAAAGTGATAAAATAACCAGAGTCAAAAGCGTAGGAAAGCAGATCATTGATTTCTAGAGAGAAAACAGACACAGACTCATTGGTAGATACTCCAATGCTGCCATCTAGTGCTGATACTCAATAACAGAAATGCAGTTCAACCTGTATAGGGACAATCACAAGTTACACGTTTATTATCTAGCACACAGTCTACCTGGCTTGACTATTGTCATTTCCCATGTAATGCATGATTACAGGTTTGAACTCAGTGACATTCGCAGAAAGTCAAAGGCACGTTGGGGGTGTTGACAGGACAAACCTACTAATTACATGCCTGTTATACTGCTATTTTCTATGAATGGTGAGAAACTTGACTGGCAAGGGTAACAGGAAGTAGGTCAAAGGGAAATCGAGCATTTTCTGTATTGGCACCTCTTCCAGAAGGGCTGCACATTCAATCAAAAGTGTAAACAAAATCCCAATATGATTTAAGTATTTTTAAGCAGCAGAGAAGTACCGGCCTACAAATTGTATTCTACAGACTTAAAAAAGCCTTTAGTTTGGTACAGATCCTCTTGAAAATAAAAATCACTCAATGAGCATGTATTATATGTGTTTTTTAATCATTCAATTATGATGAATCTCTCCGATATCTAATTGCAACATCAGTCAAAATAATCGTGTATTCCCATTTTCCAGTTGGTATTTGGTCTGCTAGACAATTTTATTGTTTTATATGTTTTACTATTTGGTTGATTAATACAAAATATATATAATTTTGTTATGCTATTTATGGTAAAAATGTTGTGCTACCAGCTTGAAAATACCTAACAAACAATAGATTCATTATGAGGCAACTTGAAAATGAAGAACTTTTATTCCGATGATTTCTGTCTAACGTTATCAGTAATAAACTAGGCAGTGTGTTTGAATGTATACACATTTCTTTTTCTAATGAATAATTTATTTGTTCAAGCTTTTCTGTCTTAACTGTCAAACCTTTCCTTGTGAGGAAACTCAAAGACTTGAACTCACACTGAGCACCAAGACAGGAAGTTAAAGGCAACTAAGTGTCCCATGATCTGACTCACTAGAGGTTAAGGATTCATGGCATTATCTCCGATCTTTGTGATAACTATTTAATCATAAGTCACATAAGGCCCCTTCTTTATAATCATAAAGTGAAAAGTATACAGTGAGTATTCTTTATATATGAACCATCAGTGTGAAGACATATACTCACAATGCTGTCATCAGATCTTTTTGAAACTGGCTACTTAATAAGTGATTTCTTCTAGGCGTGGTTGCTACCAATCATATTAGAGACTTTTCGTTTTGCCTGAAATCTCTGAGACAATCAGCTGGTTGAGTTTACTGAGGGAAATGTATGTATGCAACTCCAAAAGAAAAGGTAAAGAAGAAAAGTACTAAATACTATGATATACTCATATTATCATATATAAAAAATGTTTTGTGTATAGTATGGTACATGTATGTAAAACCTGTTGGATATTTTTTTTAATGATCAAACCATGTATGATAGAATACAGAAATATTGTTCTTTGACTTTGATGGACCCGATCACCGTTACAGAATATAGTGTATATCGATTATTTTGAATGGATCAATGAATGGAGACTACCAAAACACAACATTTTAACAATGAAACAAAGTCACTGTCCAGGTCTTACTGCAAAGAAAATAATTTCCTGGAGCTTTTCTGGAGGATGGACTCATGAGTGTCATTCACTCACGACGGTGACTTTGTGGAAGGTTCTGGAAATGGCTTTGGGGTTGTTACTGTGTGAGAAAGTCACCTTCAGCAGTTTAGTGCCGGGGCCAGCGGCCATGATGGTCACTGTCTTCTCTATCTTCTCGTCCTGCTTCAGGATAGCCATCCTAACAGAGAGAGAAAAAACTGTAATCTTTCCCCATTTCAACACACACAAGGACCCACTTAGAATATGATCAGAGCAGCCATGAAACAGAGATCAATTGTTGTTGTGAGATAGCCAAAAACAATCCTAATAGTTCTGTGTGTGTCGGCGATGAGTGTTGATTTATACTTCAAGTTATTCAAGACATCTTTTACCAGGTATGGAGATTATTAAATGGGCCCTATTATGCTTTTTGGGGTTATCCCTTTCCTGTAGTGCTCTATATATAGATTTTAGTGCATGTAAATGGTCTGCAAAGGCTAAAATCCCTGTGTTCCCTCCAGAGGGAGTTTCTCTCCCACACACTCCCCCCCTGCCTGAAACTCCTCCATTGGACTCCTCTGTTTACTTCCGTAACATAGTGACATCACTTTGTCACACTTGCGCTTCTATTGGCCAGCACTCCAACACATTGTACGTGATAGGCTGAGGGGTGGGACATCTCTAGGCAGTTGACCAATCACCACAGAGCCGGCCAGCTAACCAATCAGAGCAGACTGGGCTCTGGTTTCAGACAGAGGGTGAAAATAGTTGCTGCAGCACATGCAGTATGAAAATAAAGAGCTTTTTGAACATTAAAGCATGTAAACATTTCACAGAAGAGGCAACAATTACAAATATGAACATTTAGGGCCCCTTCAAGCTAATAAAACCAATGCCAAAGCACATTGATCCCTCTTACAGTCATCCCTCTACATGACTCTGCTGAATATCTTCTCTTACTAGCAATCTTATTCCTGTCTGGGAGGGAAACATGAGATTACATCTTAACACTACAATGGATTAAAAACAAATGAACAAATAAAGACAAATGGATATTAAAATGTGTTATTGATTATGCATTGCAAAGACTTATAACATAATGAACTAGTGACAGTGACAGAGAACCCAGAGAAAAACAGATTGTCTAAAAAATAAAAGGTTTCATGGATCCGTTATTTTCATTCTGCACAATGGGATTGCACAACTAAATGCAGTTGCAGCTTTGTCAGAAAACATAACCAGTGTTACATTCCTGTAAGGCATTTCTCAAATTTGCATCAGGAGGAATTTAAACATCAGAAACAAAGGTGAGAGGTAAAAGCGATCACTGCAAAATGAAATCCCTCTAATAAAGGCGAGGCAGAAAATGTGAATTTGAATAATGCCCACATGCCATAGTATTTATGGTTGTGTTTAGCTCAGTCAGCATGGGTTGGCTTGGGTTAAGATGGTCTACGATTCAAGCCCCCGCATGGAGCAAATAGACTAAGAAAGTATTGCAAAACCACATTTCTTTGTTTCTGCTGTGTTCTTTACCGCTGATACAAATTTGAAAACGTCCCTACAGGAAGGTAACATTGCTTTTGTTCTGTTTTTCTTTTATAGTACAATAATGTATGTGTAAATTGGGCCTATTGTGTATAGGTCCAGTTTGTTTTTAATGTGTGTATTTGAACATAAAGGGGCACTATTTTTCTCCTTTTCAGGTTCATATTTGTACGTCGTGCTCCATAGTGACATGATTACATGCTTTAATGTTCAAAAAGGTCTTTATTTTTCTCATACTGCCTGTGCTGGAGCACCTCTTTTCACCCTCTGTCTGAAACCGGCCCTCATCATTGCATTTCATTATTAAGTGTTTATATTCTTGTATTTCTCAACAGTTATTATTTATTTTACCTTGTTGTAGTTTGTATGTTTTTGGCCTTTTAAGTGTTTTTAAATGTACTTCAATGTCAATTTTATAATTAGTTTCTATTGCCATAGATTATAATGCTCTTAAAAAATCTAGTTTTTTAATTCGATTTCAATCGTTACCTGCTTTGCCAATGAAGAACATTGTACTTTGAATAATGGTTAGAAAGTCAGGAGGGGATCATTGCATGCATATATATTATTGCATTTAACGAGGATGACAGGTCCATACTTTAGTTAAACACGTTCAGATGTTATCCTTCTGCACAAACTGATCTGACAGCATTCCTCAGACACTATACAGACCAACTCTTCATCCAGCTCACAGATAAAGGAAGGATATGTCTAACCCTCCAAGGTAACAACATTTTCTTGGAGGGTTTCTTTTTAACGCCACCTGTCCTTTGGCACAAGATTATTTATTGTTTAAGCCTGAGGCCCTTGTGTCAGACTCACCTGGCTTCCTGTTTGCCCTGCAGCAGGCCAGACCCCTCTACTGTCAGCACGGCTCCATTCACACTATTGCTGCATGTGTTGGTGAAGGACACATGGGCTTTGTACTCCTTCTTCATCTGGATGCTGTCCCCTCCTTCAATCTGTGGAAGAGACACAGTAAAATGATGAGACGCGAGACAACAAGCTCTGTGCAATAATTCTTTATAAATTATTCAAAAAATATTTTACAGTTTTATTTTATTTTACAGTATAGAGTGGTCTAGTATAGAGAATGACATATTTTGTTAGGTCAACCTGGAAGTTAGCACATGGCTCCCTACATACAAAGCAATGACATTTTACCATTGGACTTCTGAATGTTGCAAAAAATAAACTCTTTAGCAAACAAACGTTTATGGTACATGGTTTTGTTCAGCAGGATAATCTCCAAATATTAATACCACAATTATCATTTATCGGCAGGAGTAAAAAGCTAATGCTAAGCTATAAACGAACTACATCGTCTGGGTGGTGGTGATGCGCACAACCAAGCAGACTTGTGTCATGTGATGACGTTTATAAGTTTATGTAGCAACCGCTGTTTTTATGACACATAGAAGCTTCGGACATTCACAAGTCGAGCATTTACTGACATATTTGGTCGGAGAACAAAAACATCTTGTAAGCTAGGGTTAACCACAGTCCTTATGTCAGGCATCTAACCACATTGGAACTGCAATCGCAAGAAGTTCAAAGCTAATGTTATGCTGTTTGCTCTAAACAAACTACATAACGGTCACATGATTCACGTTACCACCGCTACGCTAACAGCGGCTAATGTTAGCCGTGATGATGTTTAGTCGTCTCATTTATTCACTTGTTAGCAACCACTGTTTTTATGATATTAACATTTTATGTTAGGTATAATATATGTTGAGTACACCGTACACGGCAGCTATTGCACATTACCATTCGGCTACTCCCTATCCCCACGCACATTCAGCAAATGTGTGGCCACAGAGCTTCAGCCGCTGCACGGCCAGGGCATGAGGGTCTTCTTTTATCTGGACGACCTCATAGTCATGGCCAGGTCCAGGGAATGGGCAATGTTGCACACAGCCCAATTGATCCTACACCTAACCAAATTGGGTTTTGCGGTCAATTGGAAGAAGAGCAATCCCATACCTCACCAGCAGGTGCAGTATCTGGGGATGGTGCTCGATGCAGGCAGGCTACGCGCCACCCTCTCAGAAATCAGACAGGCGTCCCTGCTGCTGGCAGTTCGCAGACTGCGACAGGGGGCAACAGTGACAGCTTTGACTATCATGCAGACTTTGGGTCTCATGGCGGCTGCTCACTCCGTGGTGCAGCTGGGGTTGCTGCATATGCGCCGTCTGCAGAGGTGGTTTGCCGGCCTTTGTTTAGATCCCAAGAGGCACATGTCTGGTAACTATCTCCCCCTCAGTGGTGGGCAACCTCCGGTACTGGGGGTCCCCAGTGCATCTCCGGAGGGGAGCTCCGCTGGGGCGAGTGACCTCCTACATCACAGTGTTCACAGATGCATCCGTGACAGGATGGGGGGGGACCTGCCTAGAGAGAGCTATAGGTGGTCGCTGGGCTCTGACGGAGACTCAACACAGCAACCTCCTAGAGTTGCGGGTAGTGGTGTTGGTCCTCCAGCATTTCAAACCTGTAATACAGGGCAAACATGTGCTGGTGAGGAGCGACAACCGCAGTTGGCGTACATCAACAGGCAGGGCGGAGTCCGCTCCGCCGCCTTGTTGACCACAGCAGAGAACCTGTGGTTATGGGCCTCAGAGATTGTGTTGTCACTGAGAGCCCTCCACATCCCGGGACTGGATAACGGGGGGGGCCGACCTCATGTCAAGAGGCGGGCCCCTGCCAGACGAGTGGGTGCTTCACCTGGAGGTGGTGAAGCAGATCTGGGCCCGGTTCGGGAGAGCGGAGCTGGACCTGTTCGCCAACCGACGAAACAGCCACTGTACTCTGTGGTTTTCCATGGCTCGGCGGGACAATCCGCCCTTGGGGGTGGACGCGTTTGCACACGAGCCATGGCCAAGAAAGCTGCTCTACGCCTTTCCACCGCTGCGCCTCATTCTCCCCCTCCTGGAGAGGGTGAGACGAGAACACCTCTCAGTCATCCTAGTGGCCCCAGACCGCCGTGTGGCACCGTGGTTCGCGGAGGTGACACAGATGATGGTGGGCCAGCCCTGGGCAGTTCCTCAGGTCTGGGGGGCGATGTCTCAGGGGGCTGGTGCAATAGGGGCGTTACCCTCTCTGGGCCAACCTCTCCAGGCTTCGCTCCTGAGAGGGACAGGCTGAGACAGGGGGGATTGTCTGACAAAGATATCCAGACTATCCAGGCAGCGAGAGCAGGATCCGCCACAGCCTGTTACAGGCCAAAGTGGTTGGCGTTCGAGCGATGGTGTGAAGAGGGGAGTCTAGAGCCTCTATCATGTATGATGGGCTCTATTCTGTCCTACTTACAGTTACTGGTGGACAGAGGGCTTGCTTATTCCACAGTTAAAGTGTATGCAGCAGCCATTTCATCCTGTCATGAGGGATTTGGCGGCAGGTAAGGAGTTCAGTCAGCCGCTTATGTCGCGGTTTTTGCAGGGGGTCAGGAGGCAGCGCCCAGTAGTGCACGCCTCCGCCCCGCAATGGGACCTGCCGTTGGTGCTCGAGGCTCTGGTCACAGAACCATTTGAGCCTCTGGAGCTCTCCTCCCTGAAGGCACTGTCATTAAAAACAGCGTTGCTACTTGCCTTGACTTCGGCCAAGAGAGTGTCCAAACTGACCGCTCTGTCGGTGCACCCGAGTTGCCTGTGGATCCGGGGTGACTAGAGCGGGGCGACACTCAGACCGAACCCCTCCTTTGCTCCCAAGAGCTTAAGGAGTTCGTTCAGGTCAAGGGCTATACAGCTGGGCGGCTTTAGTCTTCCACCCCATATTGGGGACAGGGAAGCTAAACTGCACCTCCTCTGTCCGGTGCGTGCGCTAGCATGTTATGTGGAGCGCACGGCTGCCATTAGGCGCACTGAACAGCTGTTTGTGTGCTTCGGGGGGGGTGTGGCCGGTAAAGCTCTGTCCAAGAAACGCCTGGCAGGATGGCTCTGCGAGTGCATTTCACATGCCTACGGTCAGACGGGGAGAGCCTTCCCCACGGGGGTCCGTGCACACTCTACACGGGGTATGGCTGTGTCAACAGCCTTATTTAATGGCGTGAGTGTGGAGGACATATGCACGGCGGCGTCTTGGTCCACGCCAGGCCCCTTCATAAAGTTTTATCTGTAGGCAGGGGCCGTCCTCACTATTTTTCCCATGAACACCCTTCGCGAGGAAAGCGTGTCTGGGTGTGCTCTATCAGCCAAGTAAACTGCGGCCCCGGCTCCTCCACGGTCATAACCGAGGGAGGAGAGGTTGTGGTGCAGTGGCTGTCAGGGGCAGTGTGATGGGTTGTTGGATGACAGTGCGTGTATCCATCAGGGTTCCACCCACTGTACCCATAGAGTCCAGTAGAGGGCGGAGCCTGTGAGAGATATAACGATGGGTTACGTATTGTAACCCTAGTTATACAAGCACAGGCGGAGCCCTCTACTAGGGGGCCCTGTCTGTCCTATGCTGCTCGCTGAAGAGGGTGTAGGATGACAGTCGGGAGGCGAGGCCGCCTTATATACTGTGGGCCTGCGCGCGCACTCAGGTAGGCCCGCCCCCAGGGCCGGCTACGTTTATAGATTTCTCAGTAGGTGAACGCTCGCATAGTGAGGTCAAGGGCAGTACCCATAGAGTCCAGTAGAGGGCTCCGCCTGTGCTTATATAACTAGGGTTACAATACGTAACATCGTTTTGTTATCTGTTGTGTTTATGCTTTAAATAGTGAAATCAATAAACACATAAACAAATCCTTTGAATCTTTGCTGGTCAACACTTACACTTCTTTACAAAAAAAAGAATGCAGGTGTGGTCGAGTTGCCTTTAAATCAGCACAAACTACATTTTTCTTTAGGTCATTATTCTCATTTTACATTCCTGTTGAGGTTTTGTTCCAACAGAAAGAACAAGCATTCTTGCTGCCAGCAGATAGAAAACATCTTCTTTCGAATTACAGGAAAGTAGTTGGTCAAGAGCAGCCAGATAAGTGGTGCATTGTACATTCACTGCAAGGTTGTGTGGGATGAAAACATGATTATCATCTAACAGGGCCTGATATAAAACTATAATACTGGCTCTCTAAAGCTTCTTCTACCTCCACATAAACATCAGATGGATCATAAGCACATTTTCTTTCAAAATGTCCATCAACAAATACTGATTTATGTTAGTTAGGTCGTTTGGAACCTGTTGCTCTTTACTTTTTTATTTATTTTGATTTTGTGTTGGCCAAAAAAGAGTGTTGGACAACACTTTATGGAAGCTATTGTGGATCAAAAATAAAGAATAAAGACCTTTTTCAAACCCATGCCTTTATCCCTTTTATGCCCTTACCCTGACTACAGTTTAATGATAACACAGTTTGATAGTGGGACATTTGGATTTCAGACTCGGATGGAGATCAATTGAAAACTGATCCTATCGTTTGTTTGACATGCATTTAAATTAAGTATTTACATGGGAAGACACACTAAAGCCACAGAAAAAACTCAATAGCGTGCAATAGCGCTGCTCATGTGCAATACACACTTTACAGTTGAGTACCATTCCTACTGAGTGCTACCACCTAGCATAGGGATTTTTATTTTCTGCTCGAAAGGGCAATATTAGCTTATCTATTAAAAAATAAAAACCTTTAAAACATTGTTCTTTGATAAAAGTACCTATAATAAAAGCGCTGGTTGATAAGGAAAACTGTAATTTCTTGGAGGTTGTTTGCCTAAAAAAAAGTAACATATGTTGGTTAAATTTTGGTTTATGCTCTTCATTTACGTATATTAATCTTGTCATGTGCAACCAACAGGATACAGAATATCATAGTAAAGAGCGCTGCAGAAGAAAAAGAAATAGAGAGAACACAGCATGGTGTATTTGTGAAGGGTGGAGTTTGCTGCTGTACTCTACCTCCACGGTTATCTTTGGTGAGGTTACGTTGAACTCCTGCGTGGCCAGGAACCTTTCTTTCGTCAGGACGTCCTTTATCACAACTGCCACGTTCATAATGTCATCATCGGCCAGCACAGACTCGTACTCAGAGGGAAGGATGGAGTGTTCCAGCTTCAGAACTGCATATGGACACACAAAAAAAACACATTTTTAACAAAGTTTTTTCCCTTCTTCAAGCTAAACATAAAATATCTGTCTTTTGGAAAAATATTGTCTTAAAAACCTCTATCCTTTTCTGGCCTTACAGAAATTAGACCATATTATAAAAGGAAGGCCTGATGCCTTTTGAAAAAACATGGTGGTTCTATTTCGTCCCTACTGACCGCCAGAGGTGGTGCATTAACACTGGATATGTCCATCGCACGCATGCGCAGTTCGAGTACCTAATAACAACAAAGTCACCTGTGACCCACGTGACGACGGCTACATAGGCCGGCGTCATTAGCGGATCGGCTCCTTTTCATCTTCTCGCTTCGCGAGAGTACCGCGGCTACATTCTTGTAGCCTACAGCGTTCAGGTTTGAACGTTTGATCTGAGGGATTTCTCTGCAAGCAGCTGGCCGCGTGCAGCTTAGCGACTGACAGTCGGGGCTACGGGTTGTTAACGCGTCCTCCAGGAGCTGTGGCCGGCTGTGCGCTGTGCAGAGTCTCGACGGACAGGTTTGTGTCAACTTGTTGTTGGTGATGGTTGTGTCCCCGCACCCTCTCCCAGCTAAGTTGTCCTGATTGCTGTCTTATTTATTGTTTGGCTTAGACTTTCTGGTGACGACAGTGTTCCCGCTTCCTCTCCCATAAAGTTGCCCTTATTATGCTCTTTTGAAAGTTCTGCTTGTGGCGTTGTGCCCGAGCTATCATTAGCATTTGAGTCCCAGCTTTAGCTGCGTCTCTCATTCAATTTAGTATGGAAAGCCCAGGGTGCCATATTTTGCCCGTTTTTTGTTTAGATGCAGAGAGTAAGGTAAGTACTGGCCATAGTTACTACTGTAACTACGGTCCTAGGCCATGTAAGCACTGGCCATGGTTACTACTGTGACCATGGCCTACGGTTCTATGCGGGCTGTTCTATTCCATAGAAGCTAATTATCTGGTCTTAACATTTGTGTTTTGACTTGGTCACTTGATTGTTAGCAGCAGACGCTTGCCTAACACCTTGCATATACTGTTAAGCTTAATTATTTAACTCAGCCAGTGAGGGCAGTGCTCTCGCTCCCGCTCCCGGTAACATACTGTAGGGTTTTGATTGCAGTAGCGCTATTTTCATTTCATTTCATTTCACACCTTTATTTATCCAGATGGTCCCATTGAGATCATAGATCTCTTTTTCAAGGGAGACCTGCAGCATATAGGTTCCACATGAAATACATACAGGATACACATAGTTATAGACATTTACAAGTACCCATAGTATCAACGAGCATTTCATTTAGCCTAGCTTTAAAAACATTGTTACAGGCTTGGCCTGTCACTTTAAGAGTAGCAGCCGCAAGGGGTTGTGGGTTTTTTTGGAAGTCCGGTGTGTGAAAAATGTGATGGCCAAGGCGAAGTGCGGAGGTATGAAGAGAGAGACGAAAGTATAGAGAAAGTGGTCAGAAAAGGAATAGTGTCTAGTTTGTATGTATTCAATACAGTGTCAATGTAATTGAAGAACGTGAATAAACGGAGGTTCTTCCCACGGCACCCGAACGCATCGTCTTCATCCTTTTTCCCCCTCGAAATATCTGCACAGCTGGTTACCGGCTGACAACGAGCCAAGTCAGAAACCACCGGTGTGTATCCGAAACTACGGTTTCGGTGCCGAGATACCGTCAGTATAAAAGGTAACAACATGCAGAGGAATGAGATTGCTCAGTTTCAGTTCTTGCTGAAGATTGTTCCAAGCAAGTGGAGCTGCGCACATAAAAGCTGTCTTACCTAAGACAATCCTTGCTCTTGGCACATCTAACAATACTACATCATGCGATCTCAGACAATAGCTGCTTGTAACTCTCTGTGTTATCAGAGAGCAGATATAATACGGGAGTTTACCCAACAAAGCTTTATAAATAAACGTGTACCAATGACTGAGCCTCCGTACAGTAAGTGATGGCAAACCTGCCTTGGCATACAGGGTACAGTGATGTGTAATTGCTTTACAATTTGTGACAAATCTCAGTGCACTGTGATAGGCGGCATCTAACTTGTTCAGGCAATAAATCGCAGGCAATAAATCGCTATATCGTTGTATTTACTGCTCCTAGTACTAGACTCCTAGCACTAAGATGAGTAGATGCAGAGAACAATCTTCACTGTGTGTGCTGTGTGCTCTGCATGTGCGGTTACTACTGTAACCATGGCCTGCGGTTCTATGCGGGCTGTTCTCTTTCTTAGAAGCTAATTATCTGGTCTTAACATTTGTGTTTTGACTTGGTTGCTTGATTGTTAGCAGCAGCCGCTTGGCTAACACCTTGCATGTACTGTTAAGCTTAATTATTTAATTCAGCCGGTGAGGGAAGTGCTCTCGCATGGTTTTGATTGCAGTAGCGCTATATCGTTGTATTTACTGCTCCTAGTACTAGACTCCTAGCACTAGGATGATATGCAGAGAACAATCTTCACTGTGTGTGCTGTGTGCTCTGCATGTGTGGCCATTAAAGAGGATTTCATCCTCCCAATATTATATTATCTAGTGTGCAGCCGTTTGGCTGACACTTTTAGGCACCGGCCACAGTTACTACTGTAACTACGGTTCTAAGCCGTGTAAGTACTGGCCATAGTTACTACTGTAACTACGGTTCTATGCCGTGTAAGCACTGGCCATGGTTACTGCTGTAACTATGGCTCTGTGCTGTTCTCTTCTTTAGAAGCTAGTTATCTGGTCTTAAACATGTGTGTTATTTGACTTGATCTCGCTTGTTAGCAGCAGCCGCTTGGCTAACGTCTTGCGTGTACTGTTAAGCTTCTTTATTTTACCCAGCTAGGTGAAGGCAGTGCTCTCGCTCCCGCTCCCTCTGCCGGTAACGCGGGTGTAGCTACATCCCTTTTTCTGTTCGGCGAGTAGCAGCACCGCTCTACTCTTCCCGTTCAGCAGGTAGCTGGTGAAGGCTGTGTTCCCGCACCCACTCCCGGTTACGCTGCATCTGGCATTCGTCTCTAACTCAACCAGTGAAGGCAGTGTTCTCGCCCCCGCTCCCTCTGCCGGTAACGTGGGTGTAATTACATCCCTCTTTCTGTTCGGCGAGTAGCAGCACCGCTCTACTCTTTCCGTTCAGCAGGTAGCTGGTGAAGGCTGTGTTCCCGCACCCGCTGCCAGCTACGCTGCATCTGGCTACCTACAGAATGGCTCATTCATGTAGCGCCTGTATGGCTTCTCTTGAGCCCGAGGACGGCCATGACCGCTGCCCCTCTTGCCTCGGCCTCGAGCATCTAAGGGAGGCTCTCACGGTAAACGCCTGCATGAACTGTAGCTGCATGCCTCGGGCGCTCAGAGTGGCTAGAATCACTGAGGTGGAACGTCTGGCAGCAGCCAACGGACACCTCTCCTTGTCACATCCTCCTCCAGATCAGTTCGGCCGTTCCCGGCGACTTGAGGGAGCGATGGCTATGGGTGCTCCCCCCAATAGGAGGACTAGAAACAGGCTGTCCTCTAAAGTGGATCAGCTAGCTGCCGATATGGGCATGATGAAGTCGCTCCTCTTGACCCTTCGGCCTGGGCCCGGTATAGGGGCTGCTAGCGTGCCGCCTGCCCCTCCTTCGGTTGCCGCCCCTCCTTCGGTTGATGCACCTCTGTATGAGGATGCCTTGTCGCTAGCGGCTTCGGCTAACCTCTTCAATGAAGAGATGGAGGACGAGGTCCCGCTCGAGGAGGCTTCCCTCTCCTCTGCTCAGGGTTCTCTGCAGGGCGTGGAGGACGACTCCATGGCGGCCATTATTCGTACGACCCTGGCGCACTTGCAGATTCCGGTTCCGCAGGCCGACTTGGCTCAGGCTAGCGCCTTCTTCAGGCGTAGCCCTGCCCCTGTCCCCCTCACCGTTCCTCCTTCAGAGGAGTACCTGAGGGAGCTCCATGCATGCTGGAGGGACACCAGGGCCCTCTGCCACGCTGGCTCTGACGCCCGGGCCTTGGCTGCCATGCAGGATCCGGCGAGGGTGGGGCTGGGTGGCATACCACCCATTGAGCCTGCCATCGCCTCCCTGACGCTCCTGACGAGGCTCTAAGGCCTGAGGTCTGGTGCCCTCGACCTCAGTGCAGGGTCACAGGCGGGCTGCTCTGCTTTCTGGTACAGACTCGTCGCCAGGTTTGGCTGGCCCAGTCACCACTAACGGAGACATGTAGGGGAGTCCTCCGTAGCGTGCCAGTCGAGCCAGGGGAGCTGTTTGGGTCAGCTGCCCTGGAGGCTCTGGAGCGTGCTGCCCAAGCTAGGCAGACCAGGCAGCAGCTCTCGGATCGCCACCGGATTACAGGGGTAGTCGACAGAGGTCCCAGCGGCCCACTCAACCGCCTCCCAATGACTTTTGTGCCCCAGGTCGCCTGCCTTCCAGACGGCCTCGTGCCTCAGAGCCTTACCGGCGCCCCCCAAGGGGCTCCAGGGGCCGGGGGGCCGGGGGGCTAGGCCCTGAAGTCCCGGGGCCGGTCGTCGGCTGCTTTCCCAGCAGCAGCTCAGTTACTGGGCTGTCTGTACTTCCGGCCCTTGGGTGGTTTTCACCTTAACCCAGGGGTACGAACCGCAGTTCCAGCCCCTAGCCTTCGGCTGGGCCAAAATGACAGTCGTCAGCCATCCGGCAGAGGCCCTAGCTCTGGCCCAAGAGTTTTCCGTGCTTCTGTCCAAGGATGCAATCGAGCCAGTAGACCCTCTGCTTAGCCCAGGGGGTTCTACTCGGCGTACTTTCTCGTGAGCAAGAAAGTCGGCGGATTCCGCCTGATCTTGGACGATTCCTGAAGGTGCTGCCATTCCATATGCTGACCACAGCACGTGCACAGGTGGAGTGGTTCTCAACCGTGGACTTGAGGGATGCCTACTTCCACGTGGGCCGGGCAAGATGGTGCCTTATATTCAGTTCCTCCGGCCCTTGGGCAGACTGACGGCTGCCTCGGCTGTTGGGCCCTTAGGCCCGCTGTTGTTGCGCCCCATGCAGATGTGGCTGAACAGCCTTCACTTGGACGCCAAGTGGCACAGGAAAGTCAGGGTGTTGCAGCGTTGCCTCCACTCTCTGTCACGCTGGAGGGGCAGGGCCTATCTCCTGATGGGCGTGCCCATGGGCGCCATCCCATCCCACCAGGAGACCATCACCATAGGTGCATGTCTCTCAGGGTGGGGTGCAGTGCGGCAGGGCAGGACCGTTCAGGGTCAGTGGTCTGCCCAGGAGGGTGCACGCCATGTCAACGTGCTAGAGCTGCGGGCTGTGCAGCTTGCACTCACGCACTTTCTACCCCAACTGGGGGGCAAGAATGTGTGTGTTCCTTGGGACAGCAGGTACGCTGTTGCCCAGACAGCAGTCCCTTCTGAATTTATGTGGCTGCTATTTCTGCCCGACATGTTCGGGTCGACGGCGGCACGGCGGGGTGTCACAGGTCGGTGTCCCTCTTCATGAGAGGGGCTTTACGGCAGCGTCCCCCTAGCACCCCGAGGGCTCCGGCTTGGGACATACCCCTGCTGCCGGATGCCCTATTATCTCCTCCCTTCGAGCCCCTAGCCCAGGTGGGGCTTAGGTGGCTGCCCACGAAGGCAGCATTTCTGCTTGCCATAGCCTCAGGGAAGCGAGTTGGGGAGTTGCATGTCCTCTCCATAAACGATACATGCCCGAGGTGGGACTCTCAGGTGTTGCCCTTTGGGCAAATGTGGCATTCCTGCCCAGGGTGCTTCCACAAACCCACTTCAATCAGCCTGCCCAGCTGGCACGCTTTGACATTCAAGAGAACGGCACGTCGAAGTTGCTGTGCCCTGTGGGTGCCCAAAGGGCGTATATCGAGGCTACTGCCTGTATATGGCAGTAGGAGCAACTCTTGATTTTGCCATGGCGGCACTAAAGGAGCTTGTGCCCTCTAACCAGTGGCTTCCCCACTGGGTTGTCGATACCATCTCACATGCCCACGGGGCCAGTGGCCGCCCCCTGCCATCAGGGCTGAGATGCCACTCTACAAGGAGCATCTCAACATCTTGGGCTGCCCTGAGAGTGGTGCCCCTGGAGACCATCTGCGCCGCGGCGTCGTGGGCGTCTTCTGGCACATTCTCCAGTTGTTATCAGGTTAATGTCGCCACTCCGCATTCTTTGGGCGTGGTCCTTTTGCCGAGCTCCGCTGCTTACAGTAGTGAGCAAGGGCTTTGATTCTTCATGACATGGTTGGTATAGGTCATCCAGTGCTAAAGCACCGCCTCTGGCGGTCAGTAGGGACGAAATAGAACGATAGTTACGGCTGTAACTACAGTTCTATGAGTCCCGGATGACCGCCAGAGTTTCCTGTCACTCAGAATTCTTGTGTGCTCGCAAGAAGATTCTGGGAGCCGATCCGCTAATGACGCCGGCCTATGTAGCCGTCGTCACGTGGGTCACAGGTGACTTTGTTGTTATTAGGTACTCGAACTGTGCATGCGTGCGATGGACATATCCAGTGCTAAAGCACCGCCAGTCATCCGGGACTCATAGAACCGTAGTTACAGCCGTAACTATCGATATTCCTGTAGTTTTTAGAAAGGAACAATATGATTGGATAGTATAGCTTCTTGTTTACCAGCTTTATAATTCATTGTTAAAGGGGTGCTTTTATGCAGTTTTGGCCTTTTCCCTTTCCTGTAGTGTGTTATATAGGTTTTTGTGAACTGTTTAGAGATTTGAGTGTTATTTAGTGATGTCACTATTAGAGAAGTAAACAAAGGAGTCCAATGGATGCGTTTCAGGCGAGTGTGGGGGAGAGAAACTCCCTCTGGAGGGATATTTGGGATTTTTGCCTTTGCAGACCATTTACATGCACACACACCTTTATAATGCTACAGGAAAGGGAAACCCCCAAAGGGCCTCTTTAGCATGAGAAAAAGTACACACTCATACTATCCTCTTCTCACCTTCCCCCGCCTTTATGCACTCTTCTTTGTGAGACTTCCAGAAGCTCTCCTGTGCGTTTCTGTTGTACTCCTTCAGCTGAGCGTTGATGTGCTCCATCAGAACCCGGGAGCTGCTCGAGTTGTTCCTGACCGTTACACACATGACGATGCTCTCACCCACTGTTGGCACCTTCTTGAGGCTTAGGGACACCTCCAAACCAGGAGGCATTTCTTCTGCAGATGAAGGAGAGATTTGCCTTACATGTAACATACCTTTTTATCTTGCTTTGTAAATGACCTAATCAGATTATTGGGTTTCCAGTACGGATCAGGCAGCGACACTAGGCTTTTGTAAATTTGCTCCAGAAAAATAGGGAGAGGAAGAAAGGGTTCTCAATCAGTTGTTATTTCTACATCAGATTAAGGTTTATGGTATTTTTATCTTTCATTTATCAAATTTGCTAACTATGAAGGTGAAAAATGTACCTGCCAACAAGGAAAGACACAACAGCTATCAATTGCTTGACCAAAATCCAGTAAGATTAAAAAATATCCCTAGTGATTGAAATATTCTTGTTTGACATGTAAACTATTTGTTGGATGTTATTGTTTCTGTGTTTCAACCAAAGCCTCCTGCTTGAACTGAGACTCAAATGTGCTTGAACCGTAATACCGGTTTGTTTCTATGTTGGCAAACGCGCCACAATGGCCTAAAACACTTCAATTAGGAAAACGTTATGCACTTTCAAAAACAAGGCAAATATAAAAACACAAATGTGTCAAAACACATGCAAATGAAGAACATCTTCACCAACTTCACAAGACATGTGTATTAAGAAAACATTCACCAACTTGAAAAATGTGCAGTGTTTACTAAAAAAGCTGCATAAACACAAAACGCTGCATTGTTTCAACTAGCTACCAGCTGGTAAAACTACAATTGTTCTACTTGTATTTTTCAGCCTGTCCTCTAGGACCTACGAAAAACGACCAAATGGGTCGATTGTTCAGCAGCTTATTACGACCCAAAGTCACGTTTTAAAGTGTAGCACCTCTAGTGGTCGTGTAAGAAACAACATGCTCCCGTTGAATGCAAACGCTCCGGAGGGTCGTTTATTCACAAATAACCCTCTCTGGAAAATCCTAAATTGTAGAATAGTTTGGCCATTAAAATGCTTTTTGATTAGATTTCTAGCGAGAAGTGTATATTGTACTTTTAGAATCTACATCCAGTGGATGTGTAGGATCTATAGTTTGATAGATATTACGAAGATGATTTGAGGTCTCGCCAGGAGAATGTGTACTACGTCTTCATGCAGCGTCAGGGCCGGCCCGTAGCACTGGCGACATAGGCGGTCGCCTAGGGCGCCAGATCTGGGGGGGCGCTGCGCTGGTAGTTCTGGGAGGGAAAAAGACATTTTTGACTGTTTGGCTCATCCTAATTTTCAGCCTTGATGTAACAGCATCGTGGCTCTTGATCACCCTCTCACTCTTCTATCACCCTCTCTCTCTTCTCTTGATCGCCCTCTCTCTCTTCTCTTGATCGCCCTCTCTCTCTTCTCTTGATCACCCTCTCACTCTTGATCGCCCTCTCTCTCTCTTGATCGCCCTCTCTCTCTCCTCTTGATCGCCCTCTCTCTCTTCTCTTGATCGCCCTCTCTCTCTCTTCTCTTGATCGCCCTCTCTCTCTCCTCTTGATCGCCCTCTCTCTTCTCTTGATCACCCTATCACTCTTCTATCACCCTCTCTCACTTCTCTTGATCGCCCTCTCTCTCTTCTCTTGATGTGTCTGTGAGAGAGAGGGAGAGTGTGTGTGTGTGTGTGTGAGAGAGAGAGAGAGAGAGAGAGAGAGAGAGAGAGAGTGTGTCTGTCTGTCTGTCTGTCTGTCTGTGAGAGAGAGAGTGTGAGTGTGAGTGTGAGTGTGAGTGTGAGTGTGAGTGTGAGTGTGAGTGTGTGTGTGTGAATTGTTACAGCTCAAATGCATTGCAATGACTTCCATGTTAAAAAAAGACTTTAAAAAGCTGAATGTTTTAAAAAGTATAACATATTTTGAAAGAGTTGAAAGTGTCCCCATCATGTGCTGAAAAGGCTGAATAGTTTGATATTTGAATGGTTCCTGCAGCTGAAATTAGGCTCAAGGAGTTAAATAAAGATATTAAATGTAAGTAGTAGTGAATGAATGTTTACAAACACCTGTGTGTGTAAACCCAGAGATGAAAGGTTACCATGGTGACGACTTATGACGATTTACCAACTGCAGCACTGAGTCCCATTAAGAATGCATTGAGGATTATATCTGACAATTTTGCCACCTGTTCAAAAACTATGGCTCCTATCAAAAGATTACCAGACCGTGAGCATCAGGAAACCCCAATGAACTGATATATGTTGTTTTTTTTGGTTTTGTGTGTAAAATGTGGAGATGCGAGCAGTTTGTCTAAAGTGTACTTCTCTCTGTTCTGAAGAAAGTTCCGGAAAGATTTAACATGGGAATCAATTGGGATCTAGGTGGACTTTTTGTCTCTTCATGCCCTCATGAGGCATTTTGATTAATATTTCTTCTTCATTTTTTTTATTTTCCAACCTAGGAGAGGTTTTCCTACGTTTTTCATGAAAAAATATATCTGAGGAGTGTAGGGTTTGGGAATTATGGCAAGTTTAAAACATTTTTTGGGGAGCACTGCTGCACTCTGTTTTGAGATCAAATCACTCTAGACTTAACGAGCTGCTCCATCCACACTAATGTTAAAATCTGAAGAAAGCCTCTTTACCAAGCTCCAAACTAAGTTAAATATCTCAAAAAGTGTAAAAGATATCAAAAATAAAAGTCAAGTTTGAATAGCTGAAGGTGTTGTGATCATTTGAAAGTTGGAATGAAGTGTCTAGCTGAAATTATGTGGAAGGAGTAGCATTTGGCGCAAAGTGTAGGAAAAGAGGATTTTAAGGCATCTCCCATTGACTTCAATGTTAAAAAAAAGAGTTTAAAAAGCTGAATATTTCAAAAAGTATCAAATATTTTTAAAAAGTTGAAGGTTTCCCATCGATTCCTGAACAGGCTGAATAGTTTGATATTTGAATGGTTTCTGTAGCTGAAAGTAAGCTGAAGTTATGGAGAGCCAAATTATTGGTGAAACTAGAAAATGCATTTCCTGCAGAAAATGCGTGCGAATGCTGTAAACTGTGAACATTTGTGGCTGAATTTAGCTGAATATGCAGAAAAAGCTGAATATGTTATTAGCTGAATGGTAGCTGCTTTTAGCTACAAAAATGCAGAAAAAGCTTAATATTTAAAAGAAAAGGTTTAAAAAAACATGTATAGCCTTGATGTCCTGAAATAGCTGAATAATGTAATAGTTGAATGGTTTCTGCAGCTGAAAATAGGCTGAAGGAGTTAAATATCAGATGTAAGTAGTAGTGAATGAATTTGTATTAAGATGAGAAAAGAAAGTAAAAAGGCTTGGGAAAGCAGCAGAATATTTGAACTACAAACCTTTGAACTAACTTGATGGTGAATTATCTGTCGCCATGGCAACGGCATTTGATGACACCCCATAATACGCTTAGATGTGTTGATGGCTGCATCGTTACCAAACCTGTGAAGTTTTGGGCCATTTCAAGCATTTTCACTGAAGTTATGAGAAAACCGTGTTACCATGGCAACGGCATTTGAAGAACTCTCAAAATTGTCCCGTAGATGTCTTCACGGCTGGACTGTTAGCACACATGTGAAGTTTGAGCACTTTTTGAACATTTTCATAGGAGTTATACATTACATTAGGAGGTTACATTACTCTCTCTCTTCTCTTGATCGCCCTCTCTCTTCTCTTGATCACCCTCTCAATCTTCTATCGCCCTCTCTCTCTTCTCTTGATCGCCCTCTCTCTCTTCTCTTGCTCGCCCTCTCTCTCTTCTCTTGATCGCCCTCTCTCTTCTCTTGATCGCCCTCTCTCTCTCCTCTTGATCGCCCTCTCTCTCTTCTCTTGATCGCCCTCTCTCTCTCCTCTTGATCGCCCTCTCTCTCTAAATAAAGAACTACGGCAGATATGTAATATTTAATGCAGCCGAACTGTGTATTACAATGCCGTTATGTGATGACTTCCAAAGAGAAAAGCAAGCACACTCGTAATAAAGTATTATTATTATTTTTTTAAATGTTTTCGGATTTAATATCGCATAAACACCATATCCCAACGTGCATTGCGGCTAAAACATCAATCACCGAGCTTCAAGTTCGATGTTTTAGCCCAGGGGTGTCAAACTCAAGGCCCGGGGGCCAAATCCGGCCCGCGTCCTAATTTTATGTGGCCCGCAAGAGCTTGCAAAGAATATAATATACAATACAATTGGTGTAATTGTTGAATATTTACTTTCAATTATTTGCACTAGACTTCTGCTTTCAGACGTAGTTATTTAGGAAAATATTACCAGAACTGATAATAATCCAATGCAGGGCCAACAATGTAATATAATACATTATTTAATATATATTATATATTTACATATGTATATTTATATATAATTAAAATTACAACCGGCCCTTTGAGTGCAACCATAATGCTGATGTGGCCGGGGATGAAATTGAGTTTGACACCCCTGTTTTTATCAAAACCTCTGAAAAAAGAAATGTGTCTCTCAGAATCGAAAGGCAAAAACCTATGGGAAAAACACAAAAGCATTGTACACAATTTAAACCAATTAATCATATGTAATTAACAAGTATAAACTGATGTTTCTAGTGGATGAGTACTGCAGATATAGCTTTAAAATCATTTGACAGTGGGGGAAATACGGTTTTATTATGAAAACTTCGAGACCGGAAATACTGTTTTCACCCTGTGAGGGTTGACGCTAACTTTACATGGACGCTGCCGTTCCACTTTCTCCTGGCGAGACCTCAAATCATCTTCGTAAAATCTATCAAACTATAGATCCTACACATCCACTGGACGTGGATTCTGAAAGTACAATATACACTTCTCGCTAGAAATCTAATCAAAAAGCATTTTAATGGCCAAACTATCCTACAATTTAGGATTTTCCAGAGAGGGTTATTTGTGAATATACGACCCTCCGTAGCGTTTGCATTCAACGGGAGCACTAGAGTTAGAAAACTTTAAAACGTGATTATAGGTCGTAATAAGCGCTTGAACAATCTATCTATTTGGTCGTAATAAGGGCTTGAACAATCAACCTATTTGGTCGTATGAGTTGGAGGACTTGTTGGTATTTTTAGTAGGGATGATGCCAGTTGGAACTGACCCTCTGACTATGAAACTATTGTCAGTGGCAACACCTAAATACACCTTGTAGCGTTAGATTAGAATGAAAGCTTACCTTCTCCATCTGACATTTGACTGTACTCCAAAATACCCCCATCTGTAAAAATGAAAGGGATTTTGTCATTTAAAAACCAGAATCAAAAGCATGCTTATAACCCAGCGGAAACCTTTTTGGTAGATATTGTGCCAGTGGGGAGAGAAACCTCTGACCAGAGCATAGACTGTATAGGACCAGAGCGTACTTTGGATTTTCAAACACCAAAATAAACATTGTCGCATAGCAGCAATTTGACATGTTAAATGTAAAAAGTATTTGTAATATAAGAGCTTACCTTCTTTATGTCCCACTGAACAGGACATAAAATGTGATGACATTTGACGGGACACCAAAATACCCCCATCTGTAAAAATGAAAGGGATTTTGTCATTTGAAAACCAGTATCAAAAGCATGCTTATAACCCAGCGGAAACCCTTTTGGTAGATATTGTGCCAGTGGGGAGAGAAACCTCTGACCAGAGCGTACTTTTGATTTTAAAACACCAAAATAAACATTGTCGCATAATAGCAATTTGACATGTTAAATGTAAAAAGTATTTGTAATATAAGAGCTTACCTTCTTGATGTCCCACTGAACTGGACAGAAAAGGTGTACCTGACTTGCGAACTGCGAAAAAGGGATTTTGTCATAAAACAACAATGGTATGCCCTCACCAGAACACAAGAAACAGAGAAACATTTGTGGTATGGCTAACAGAAACTCCAAAGATAATTTGGATGACATTTTCACCATCTCTGCTCATTGGTCGATCCTGGCCACCTGAAAAAGACAGAAAATGGGGATTAAAAACCTCAAAACACATTGAGAATGGGTATAAAATTGCTTAATCACAACCACTGACCTCTCCAACCTGAGTATCTTCCATAACCTGCTGCTTGTGGTTCTGAAAGGGTAAAAAATGGGGAGAAAAACTGTATCCACACATGTAGAGAACAAAGATAACCACCCTATTTCTACTTTCTCTAAATAGTGCATTTGAATCATTCTAACACAATATAGCTTCCTTAAAAACAATACTGTTTTTTGCCTTACTTGTCTTGCTCTTGTAATCCTGTGTCAGGTTTTCTAGTAGGTCTGAGCCAATGCTCTTGGTGCAGATCAGCCGTCCCACCGTCTCAGTGTCCACCGTCCTCTTCATCACCCGTCCATTGTGCATGATCAGCCGTACGACGTCAGCGTCAACAGCAGCGTAGATAAACCGGGTGTCGAAACTGGCTCTAAGGACACGTTGATGGATGGCAACTACTGGGCAAGGGCCACAGCAGTATATCCCTGCAGAGGAAGGTGTTTGAGTTACAGTACATGCTAAGTAGCTACAATCCCAAATAACTCACCAGGGGTGTCAATAATGTAGAAATCACAAATCTAATTAGTCTAGTATGGTGCTACATGGTTATTGATCTCTCTATGTTGAGGCAGAGATTCATAGACAGCGACTTAGCTTAGCATGTTTGCTTAGCTCTTGTTTTAGAACGATGGATAACAATTTTCTTGGCGTGGATGATACTGCGACAGAGCGCAGGAGATCAAAATACAGTTAAACATGGTTTCTTAGCCTGCTTTCTTTTCATGGTTTTAAATAGAGCTTTTTGTGTAGAATGTAGAGAAAGAAGGGTAACAAATGAACAGTTAACGAAACATTGAGAGAGAGAAAGATGCAAACTGATTGTACGTTCATTCCCCTGCTGAACAAAACAGAAAATCACTCATCAGATGTTTTTATTGTGAAATAGTTGCCTTAACACTGTAAGGCAACTATTTCACAATAAAAACATCTAATTTAACATTTAATTTTAGTTTCTAAGGGTGCTAAGATGCTGATTGTGATTGATCGAAAGCTAATGTTTTTGAATTTTTTATCAACAGTTTTATTAAAAGGCTTATATATCTTTTCCAAAATAGTCTATACATCAAAAAGAAAAGAAAATAATGCTAATAATTATATGGAAAATCAGACATTCATCATAACAACATAGCCAGGATAGAATGATTCTTTGTTTTATTTTTGGCCCATTTTGACGATTTGACTACCTCTGAAATGAGTTATCAATTGTATTTCGCCTTCTTTGACATTTAATCAAAAAAGGAAGCTCTTATGTCAACAAATTTGATATTAATTGATCAAAGCAGAGAACCCACCTCCACTCTTCTCCTGGGGGGTGGCGTCCACTACCTGCCACCCATCAAATGCTGAGCCGAGGTCTGGTCTCCTCATCCAGCACTCAACCCACACATGGAAGTTCCTGCAAGAGGACAAACACGAATGGATGCTGTCAATTAACCACACACATTTTGAAAAAAATGAACAAATATGCAAAATTAAATATACTGGGAAAATAAGATAGCCAACTCACTTTTTTTCGTCATTATTTTATAAAAAGTTGATACTGCAAAACTGGGAAAATAAGGAAGCACCTTCACTCAAAAACTGTAATATTACTTAACATTAAAGAGGCTCTATTATGCTAATTTTCAGGTTTCATATTTGTATATTGTGTCTCTACTGTGACATGTCTCCACGCTTTAATGTACAAAAAGCTCTTTATTTTTCTCATACTGCCTGTTCTGCAGCACCTCTTTCTGCCCTGATTGGTTAGCTGGCCGGGTGTGATGTCCCGCCCTTTAGCCCCTATCACGTAAAATGTGGCGGGCTGCAAGCCAATAGAAGCGTGAGTGTTACATAATGATGTCATTATGTTAGGGAAGGAAAAAAAAGGAAAAACAATAATCTTTAGCTCGTCTTTCACATCAATGTGTTTGTGTGGATTTTTATTTCATTTGAAGGGGGGTTGTTTGTTTTGCAAGTAGGCACATGCATGTGTGGTTGGTCGATGTAGTGTAGGGGATGATAACCATATTTTATCCTATCCTTTTCTTTGTTCTTTCATTTTATATTTTAGCTTTTTTGGAAGTAATGAAAATTATGCATGTTGAAATATGTTGAAATATTGAATGTAGGCAGGGTTTAAATTAGGACGATGGTCTGACGTCGTCACACTCAAAATGTGTCATGTTTACAAAAAACGATATGTTAAAACTTTTCTCATTCTTAACATAGACTATATTTAGGGTCAATATGTGTTGACTCTAATATGTGTCCGTCTTGTAACACAGAGCCCGTTTCTTAAGCCATGCTAAATGTATGTGTGTGCATAAAGATGAGTTATGATCGGTCATAATATCACCGAATGGGATTATGATCAAATTGTTTACTTATTTACCGTGAGATTTACAGCAAACTTTTGGCCATAACCGTGCAGCCCTACAAATGAACTGAGATTTCCACACACATAATTTAAACTATTATATTACGCCCGACCAATACAAAGCACGTACAAATGTTTTGTGTATATATTAATCATTTAAGATGGAAATTACTTCAAGTTTAATGTTACTATTAATGTACTAGAGTAATAGAGTACCAGAGTAAGTCTGGACGAAGCATAGTTTAATCATCCTAAAAGATCAACTGTTTGAGAGCAATAGACACCCACCACGTGCTGTCCTTTGGTCCTGGGAGCTTTTCCCCGCTGCTTGAGAAATATTCCTCAATTATCAGGTTGCTGTCAGCGTCATGGGCAGCGTTAAAAACTGTCACCACCCTGGAGGGAACACCCAGCACTCTCATCACTGGAAAAAACACACAAAAAAAGCAGTCACACTATAAGACTAGATGGACCAACATTTTGAAATGATCTGTTATGACAAATTATGGCTTGATATGTTAAGCCTGTAAAGACAAAGCATTCCTTTTTTATTCAAATAACGTAGCGATGATGATGAAAGCAGGGACAGCAAACCCTACCTAAAAGTCGGCAGGTTTGTGCCATTATGAACGATTTATTAGAAACAGGCTAACAGCTTGCTTAGGTTGAAAAGCCCTTTATTTAGGTTTATGATCCTAGGATTGGCCCTTTCAGAAACTACTAGAAGAACAAAGGAAACAAAGGATTGGGATAAAACTACTAAATAACATAAGCCAATGCAAATACTGTATCAATATAATAGATTAAAACAGGTTCAGGTGGATTTAGCTTATAATACTTGTAAGCCAAGTTTGATAGCTTCCTTAATCATAGGCCAATTCAAACTTAATGACATGTAAGGCAACTCTTTGGTGTCGTTGATGGCTAAATAACACTTGATTGTCAGCCACGATTTTAGAACTCTAGTGTCCTAATTTATACCGTACCGGTGCAGAGGACAGATGCAAAGACCCAGCACTGTCCGTAGCGTACGGGTTTGCAGTTGGACAAGACCCATTGGTGGAGGATGTCAGCGCTGCTGCTCCACTCTGCGGGACTGACACCATCTTTGTAGTCGCCTGACCAATTTCCCATTAAAATACCCAGGTCGTCGTCGCAGTTAACCTTAAGACAGTAGAGACACATTACATTCTTTGTATAACTGTGTCAGAAAAAATGGTGATCCATTTTCTAGATTAAATGTGTGTGTTTAAGTCTTAATAACAGGCTTAAAATACATTTGCCAGAGCAATTCTTCTAAGTGATATTTTTTAGACTAATTTCAACCTGAAAAGGCTGAAGTGCACGACTACCCCATGTTCAAAATAGGACCAATGCAAATAAACAATACACAATTTAAAAGTTGGTCATGACATTTATCTCACATAACTTTCTACCAAACAATATGTACCTGTGTTTAGAGTGCATGGAGGAATTGTCCTGAAAATATTTATATTTTCACTTCCTATTAAGTAGCACTTTTGCCTTGTTGGCCGAAATAATTACACCAAAAATGTTATCCTAAAAACTTATTTAAAAGTGCCTAAAATGGAACTGGCACAATCTTTAACCTGTTCTTAAGTTATAAACAAGATATAGAAAAACTATTTCGATCAGACTTATTTGCCTCACGAGGCTTCTGTATATTATTGATAATACAATTAAAAACATTTCACATTAGAGGGATTACATGTGCATGTTTTACATATCCATCACAAAGAGTAAATGTGAATGTTGCCGCTCACCATAGCACAAATCACCCGGCTGAGGTAGACGGGGTCTGCTCGTCGAATGTAGTCTTTTTCTTTGTTCTTGAAGTGCCACTGGCTGACCTGCAGCAGCTTCATACACGCCTCCAGGACTCCAGGCTCATACTTTATATTCACACATGGAAACATACAATTCCTGTACTGTATTCTTACCATCACATAATGCTGTGACCCGTTCATGAAAGCTGAGCATCACCTACCTGACCAAACATCCAGGGTCTTTCATTAATGTTTTGAGGGGTGCCCGTGAACAAAATCCCGCGATCACTCTTGATATACTCTTCTCTTTGGGCCTTCAGTGGCATGTACACTGGATCCTCTGAAAGGCAATAGCAGTGGAACGGGGTGACCTCTAAAACAAGGTAACAGCAACACATTTAGACAATAAAAGGAAGGAATATTACTAAATGGTCCCACCTTTCAGCCAAGGGTTGCAGAGTAGCACAAATGTTCCCACTTCAAAGGTACTTCTGCTCCTATGTATCGTCTCAATGTGGAGGAAGAGGTAATACTGAGCCACTGGGGAATTAACAGGGGAGCAGATGTGGATGGTGACTGACTTCGAATGAATGTCGCCTGGGTAGATTTTGGCTGACCAGCCTTGGGGGTCGTGTTGCTCGTCAGAGATCTGGACTATGATCCTGTCTGAATGATTTCCTGCAAGGTGAAACAAATAATTATACTAGTTACCTAAAGTGAGATTATGAATAAAGAAATAATATACTTTCCCCTTAAGAAAAAAACGTTTAACTTATAAGCAATATGAACATTTCTCCATTCAATACGACAAGGGGTTTTGCTACAACATCTATTTGTTTTTGTACAACCAGTAGCTAATGGTGGCTAATATTAGCTTATCAAACGGAGCATTATCATTATAATGTTTTTTCCTCACCTAACTCAAGAGTAAATAACAGTATTTCCAAATATTTTAAATTAGTAAAACAACTAAAAGTCAGTAAATTGACTCAGTGATAACTTTGTGAACTTTGCTAACATTAGCTAAGATTTGCAGCTAAACTACTGGTCGTACAAGACCAAGTAAAACTATAGTAACAACTCCCCTGAGTGCATTGGATCAAACAAGTGTGCTTTTTATTTCTTTTGGATGTAATTTATCATATGTAAGGAGTGGACAATTATTTCCTTCATAAATGCTACAGTCTTGGTTTAATGCTTAATGTTAGAAGAATTTATCCCATCTTTTTTTACCCAGAAAGACCTCGAGGACCGGGTACTCTGTGTGTGGATTCCACAGCCGCCTGTGGAACCACAGAGTCAGTTTGAAAGGTTTCCCTCGTCGCACCACCAGGTGTTTTTTGCTGAGGCCATGTGTCTCATGAGAAATGCTGTTTTCCTCAGCCTCATAGTTGACAATCTTCAGTTGGCAATGGCTATTGTTAAAGCCTGGGTAAAAAAAGGTGACTTATTATAAAAAACACATTAAAGATCTGCGATCACTCAGAGAACCAGGACAGGTAACTGAAATAAAAGAAGCGGGAAAGATGGAAGTTGTGTTAACGTTGAAGGAAACCAGTCATCATATAGTTCAGGAAAAATACTAGACTAAATAATTGTTATTAAAGACGAATTAGGAAGTTATATTTTGGCCATCATTGGGAAAAGTCTATTATGAATTCTCAGCATAATGTAATTCAAGTGGTGAGCAAAAAACCTGACTTTTGCAACTCCTCTTGGCTCTGTCTTCAGTAGAATAACATGATAAAAATGCTATCATGTTGTTACTCACATATAAATCTGATTTATGTGGAGGTAACTGATGTTATTCATCCAATGTGGGATGGGTTTAATCACGTTAGAAAGTGTCTTACCAAGCAAGAATTATTTGACCATATGGTAATCTAGCACAAAGATTGCAACAAAAAAAACTAATTTGATTTTAAAGAAACCAAAAAGCATTAACACAGCTTTCTCTTCAGCAGATCTTGAAGTTTAGCATGGTTTGGAGATTAAACTCACCATTGATTTGTTGTGTGCTCTGCTGCATGAAGTCCATGGTGTGACAGCTGGAGCTGCAGGTGAAGGAATGACAGGCGACTCCACATTCCCTCTGATAAGTAACTCCCTCTCCCTCCTTTGTTGTGACTGTGACAGTTTTTTTTTGTTTTTTTTTCTATTTCTTTCTATCTTCGGATCAAGTCCAGGTTGCTACTCTTTTTAAAAGGCTTTTTCTAACGACTACAATAAATAAAAATCCGGGGAGCCGCTGCAGCAATAAAGGCATTTAATAATTAATAACCTTGTAAAACAAATGTATTTTATTTGGTTTTAATAATGTTAAAAACTCTGTAATGATTTTTAGGTTTGTTTATGTTGACTTGATCTAGTGAGGTGTTAACATTACCAATATATAAGAATATTAATGTTCACACAAGCATGACAATATAACTCTCAATATCATCCACAATATTTGTTTTGAATTTTAGTTTCTTAATTGATCTTGCTTTCATTATTTTAAGTAAGATCATTATAAGGCACTGTTGTTAGTATGAGTTTTTTCAAAGTTGTATTCTAATCTGATATTACTCCTATTTTGTTGAAATGTACTTTTCTATTTTAGTGAGCTTATTTTACTGAATGTATCCAGACAGCGCTCCGTTGGAAGTGAGACACTGAAACACACATGCAAATTACAGCTGATCTCGAAGGAGAACAATACAGAACTCTTTAAGATTGTTACTTAGCGTGTTATGTGCTAACATTTGCTAATTAGCACTTAGCACAAAGAACAGTTGAAGCTGAGGGGGAGTCATTGTTGGATACTTTCAGTCAAATTTTGATCTAATGGCAACTCAAGATAAACATTCAAAACTTTTTATTAATCATCCTGTGTGTTATATCGTCCAGTTTTAGACTGAGGATATTTTTTACTCCCGGTACGCTAATTATTTTGGAATATTTCTTGATTAAAATATATTCCATGAGATCCATCTGATCTGGTCCTGACTATTTCTCATATTTACTATCGTTGGTATTTCCTCTTTTTATTCTTTATTTTTGTTTCTTACCAAGCATTTAACCCTTCCCCATGGGATTTACGTTTTCACATATATCCTGCAGCCCACCATACACAGTTTGTAATGTTTACTCTATTAGCAAAAAAGGAAGTGATACAAATAAAAGTATATAAAAGTAACAAACCCAACAAAGATTGTGCAGGAAAGTTGGAAAGCCCCCAGGAGCTTATGGTAAAACCTCCCCTGACACTCAAGATACTTACCTACACATAACGAGATCTTGAAATATAGGGAAAACAAATAACATGGTAAAAACCCTGACAAACTAAACACATTTAACCCTTGTATGGTGTTCAGGTCTGTGGGACCCGTTTTCATTATTTAGCTAAATAAAAATGATATGATGAATTGTGTGTGTGTGTGTGTGTGTGTGTGTGTGTGTGTGTGTGTGTGTGTGTGTGTGTGTGTGTGTGTGTGTGTGTGTGTGTGTGTGTGTGTGTGTGTGTGTGTGTGTGACTTTTGTGTTTCTGCCCCTGCCATTCCCGCGCAAGGTTGCAACATTGTTGATAAATTCAAGCACGGACACCGGTCTGCTCTCACATTCCCGCATTATGTTTTGCGGGAACCAATCTTTATTTTTTTCACACTATCGAAGCTGCACATGTGGGGCAAGACACAATAAATAAAGCTTTGCCAGTTTGGGTCCTTATCACAACTGATCAAGATGGCCAAAAGATTCTCTGCTCAGAGGGCCTTGCAAATTATTCTGATGATGATGTAGAGGAAGAGGAAGAGGTTTCAGAATGTGAGGATCACATTTCTGAGAAGTCTGAGTCTGACAGTGACTTTGCAGAAGAAAGACGAGCCACAGGACCAGCCGGTCAGACCCACGAACACTGGCTGAGTAACAGAAATATGAACACCACACAAGGGTTAAAACACATTCAATATCTTCCATGGAAGCTGCAAACAATGATTCAACGTTCTGATCAAATCAATTGGGCAGATGCCTTTCCCTGGAACTGAGCCATGACGCTAAACACCCTGCACACACACCCTGTACACACCTTTATCTGTTACTATGTAGCAACTGATAGCAATGTGCTGATGACACCTCTACTTTTCTTTATACCTTAGTTGGGATTTATCTTGCACAAGAATTTCCAACAAACACAATCACTTCCCCAATTATGCAATACAGAGGACCAAACCTAAAGTGTACCATGTTCACCATCTGAACGATTTTCATTACATTTGCACACACTAGGAAGTGAACAAAAAAGACCAGCTGTAACTGCTTATCGACAAACACAAATATTTAAGAATATAAAACTAATTGGGTTAACGTGCTTCCATGTACACCACTGCTGGATTTCAAAGAACATGGTGACCCCAGACCATAATGCCCCAACTGTCCAAAGAACAGACACACAGTCAGAACGTGAAGGAGATAAGGTCTCCTGTAATATTTGTGACTATAGATTGTATTTGATGTCTGATGCCTTCCTTGCATGTAAACGCCTAAAATCATACGCTCCTGCATCCGGTCTTTTTCTTGAGAGGTCCAGAAATTATTAAATACATATTAGTGGAATAGAAACTGCATTTCTTAGGTGGGTAACATTTCCTTTTAGATACATTTCTGCCACAAATGAATCATTCAAAGCATGTGACTTGGTTTCCCACTAACAGATCTGATATGGAAAAATATAGAGTGAATGTTTTCAATTCTATTTAAAGTAATAGCTTGGTATATCGGGAAAATACACACATTGGCTTTCTTTAAAAGTAAGATGAGAAAATCAATATCACTCTTAAACTGCAACTTGTCTTTTAAAAATGTTGTTGATCGTACCGAATAAACAAATATATACTTAATATTAATAAAGGGAGACGTTTTAAGGACTTCTAGGTGACCTAATACAACGCTCTACTGGAGAAGCCCCTCCGCCAACCAAAACTCAACTGAAATGTAAGAATGACTTGAATTGATCATCCAGCTCAATTTAGTTCGAATTAAGAGGTGTCAGAGGGGGTAGGGAAACACTTCCAGTGGATGCACCTTGACTCGTGCTTAACATCCTTGTATACAAGTTTAGATTGGTGCCTGATGACCGTCCAAGAGCGATAACTATCTTATCCCCTTGCGACAACCACTACTACACCTAGTGGCGCTATGCCCCCCCCCCGATCAGGAGCGCATAGACTTTTGTCCTCTACCCTTTCTCTCCTCGACAACACAGTTAGTTGTAGTCCCCATGGACCAGCCTATCCACTCACTATCGAGTTCATTACAACGATGAAACACAGGTTTGCTCTACACTCGCATGTCACTGCCCGCCCGTGATCAATTAGCCTATCATTTTATGTGTGCACCCCTGTCGACACCAGTCCCGCCAGCAAGTAGTGAACTGTGGCGCATCAGGAAATACACGCAGCCCGCGCTGCCCCGCTTCTCCAGCAAGTAGGAAACGGATGCAGACAGCGAATGTGCTTTTAGACCATCTCTTTTTAACAGAGATGGCGGTGGTGTGAGTAAAAGCTATAGGCCCAGACCCTAGCCACACGGAAACGGTAACGAAAACGAACCGAATTCGATATCAAAAAAGTATTCCGTCCACACGCAATCGGCACCAGAAACGTGTCCGTCCACACGAGACCGCTCGACCCGCTGTAGTACATATGCCGGGCCTGTAAGTGGCGCTGTACTTCCGCCACAAAATACACCAAAAGCAGCGAAGAAGACTTCACGAGCATGAATGGTTGCCATGGTTGCCCTTCTGTTTATTCTCCGCGGTGGATTTAGCAGCAGAGGTGGGGAGAGGCAGGGGCCAGGGCTCTGGCTCTTTTTCTCCCTCCCCGAGGCAAGCGTGTTCTCCTGCTGTAAATCTCCCCGGTAGACCACCAGCAGATGAAAAACACCCACCTCTCCGCCTCTTCCAAGGGACGAAGGAACCGTACGGCAGAGTTTCCGTTAGAATATTTTTTCCGCCGGTCAACATGTCCGTTAAAGTTTAAATCTTCCGGACAAAATTATAAAAGTGCCGGTCAAAGGTCTTCTTTGTTATTTATTGAGCTTTAAAACAAATGAATAACGACTCTATATAATAATATAAGAATAATACACAGAGCCTCTCTTTTCCTCCCCCTCTCCTGACAGCCCGTCAGTATTTTCGTTATCAGGAAATGATCGTATAGGGCGTAATCACGGAGCCGTTTGGCCCCCCAGAGCGTTGCGTCCGCCGATCTACCCACCTTGGGACCCGTTATCGTTATCGTTTCTGCGTTTCCCTGTCGGCCTCGTGTAGCCGAACCGCCTATATGATAGAGAACTGTAGCGGATACGACCCGTATCGTCTCTGTGTGGTTGCAGTCCAGGCTGTGAATTTCTTCCTCTCAGATAGCACCTCACCAGCTAAACAGAAACGGGAGAGGTGTCTGCACCCACGCCCCCGTGTTCAGCAGCTGGAGCTGTGCCTAAAGAGGCGATAGTGGTGATATCTCTGACTGCTTCTTTCTAACTGCTTGTGTTGGCCGCTGAAACCTCTAAAATTCTGAGGTTTGCCCAATACAAATCTTTAAATTGCTTTCACACAGAAGTTTCACTTAACTGATGCCTTTCTTTAAGATTTCTCTGAACATGAGCTGTGCATGCTTGTACGGCACATACGTCCCGAGCAGCATACACAGAGAAAATCAGCCAGGACAGAGTCCCCAGACACTGATTCCCTGGGCGTTACAAAGCCTCAGATGTTCATTAACCGAAAACGAAAAACAGCCGCTCAGTTTCACAGGTAATTTTAGGATACCGTCAATCACAGATTCTAGTAAGGCAATGTCCAAATGTGGATTTTAAATTACACTTACCAGTTCTGAAGATTTGTTGGTATCCTGCCGACAACGCCAATTTTTGGGGGAAACTCCTGAAGCAATTGGAGAGAGGACTCAGAGAGACACGAGGAGAGCTGGAGCTTTGATGGTAAACACTGACGGATTATTTGGAGCTTCGGCTGGAGAATTTACAAGACATGTCATGAGCCACAAGTTGACAGAGGTAGAGATGCCAAATCAATTCTGAAGAAACCTTCCTCTGGTAGGAGGTT